CATCGCACCAATAAGAGCCGATCAGATTGTAAGGATCACCAATGATTTCAGAATGGATAAAAAATAATATTAATTGCAATTATAAAAGCAACAGGGGTAACAATAATAGTGATAATCGTTACCTGGACCTAATGTATCTATTCACTTGAGAGAAAAAAAAGTAGCTTAACTTTTTTATCGCCGAGATGATGATCATAGTAGAAGCTGTCAAAACCAACCTCGTTCCCAGGGCCTTTTCCCTTAGTTGAGGTGGAGCTGGGAAAAAAGCCCTGAGAACGAAGTTGTGTCAAAACTAAATCTTTATTTTTGTACCCCGCTCAAACGAATATACTGAAAACGTTTATCATGCAATAAGCAACCTCAATTAGGGTGTGTCAACACAAGTCTTGTGCGACTTTCTTTATTATGCCTTCATCAACAAAATGGAGAGGAATAATACAACAAATGTTAAGAATGCAGAAGAGAAAACCACCCCACAAAACAATCTAAACTACGTTCGTATAACAATGATTCCGTAAGCGTGCTAAACCTTTCATATAGCAGCATGCAAAAACTACGTCTAAGAGAAACTGATAACCCCTAGTCACTGGGTACTTAATATAGAGGGCGTAGGGACGGTGTTGAGACGCAATTGAATATAAATGACCACAACTCGAATATATATATAGCCTACCGATGCGAAGAAATTATAACAGCGTACCATGTAACACCCAAAAGAAAGGGGTTACATAACCCGTGATAAATACATTTACCAGAGAGCAATAAGCAAAAGAATTGATATTAAATACAAATTAATAAATGAATAAAAAAAAAATAAAAATAAACTGACCATGTGCCTGTTTATTTCACGGGTAAAAAATTTAGTTTGATGAAATTCAAGTCTACATTTCCCCATTTCAGCTGCGAGAGACACCAGCCGATGCTGACTTTGATTTGACGGACCCTTACAGTCCACCGCCACAGTACAATGTGCTGCATGATCCTCATTTGAAGGATTACTTTCAGAATCCAGCCATGCAACGCAGACTTGTCGGCAAAGGTAAGCTGCAATTTTCGATTGTGTATCGTTCATAATCCTACGTTCTAGTTGCTCGAAGTTCGGATAACGCTATCCACTGGCCGCTCTGTGGTCGGTTTAGGAAATTCGCGCTTCCTTCTCGACCACTAGACCAAAAACTGTAGCCCGCTCAGTAAGTTCTGCGAGGGAAACTGTAGAAAAAGGCGCGAAAGTAGCAGAGGAGAGGTAAAACGACGGACGCTTAGGTCGAGTCGCTGTTTATGAACCAACTCGACCCAAACTTCCCTCGGTTTTTGGTTGCGGCTACCTTCGCACCAACGTGTACGGATTTTGCATCCTTTTGACTTTCAAAAAGCCTGTAACAGGCTAGGAAAATCAAATCAATTACGACTTGGTCGCACGAGATTTCCGGAGCTTCAGACAGGTCACTTATTTCAACTTCGATTTTTCATTGACTCCTAGCAATATTTCCCGTTTTTTTCTGATTGATTTTAATTTTTGCTTTATACCAATCGATTGAAATACGCTCTAAATTAATCAGTGCTAGTCAGTTTAGACCACATAGGTGAATGGCGCTTTTAGTGCGCTCTAATTGGCTAGTTTGGAAGTGATTATCAAGAAGCCGAATAGACAAAATCGTGCGTCAAGACTTTAATTTCTGGCCATTTTCGGTATATACACAGAAATAAACTGATTTTCTGGTTTATGTGTTGTATATACTAGAATAGTTAATAACCGTATTGTCAGTGACTGCCATTCACCTAATATGATGAATAATTGTCAATTATATTTCTTGCGTTTGAATGGAAGGTTTCATCACAAACAGTGGCTTTATAAAATGCACCCTTCTTGAATTCAACATGTTTCGCCAGTGGATCAGAAAGCTTAAATTAGATCGAATACATCAGGAGCGTCGAAGGCAACGTCAGCTTGAGCTTCAGCTATGGAAAGAGAGGCAAGCTAGGGAACGTCTTCTCCGGGACGAGGAGTTGTACAGCATCATGCGTTTGCGGAAACAGAAGGCAAAAGAACTGAAAGAACGCTCACTCAAAAGGCGTGAAACAGAAAAGCGGAAGTATCTAAAATTACAAGAGCTAGATCGGAAGAGACGGGAAGAACACGGCGATGCCATGAAGCAGAAAAAGGACAAGGATGCAAGTGAAAGAGAGAAGCATCTCGCTTACAAACAACTGCAAAAGAATGAAGAGGAAAACAAGGTGTGTTAGATAGACATGAATAACATTGTTCATACTTTGAGGGCCACATACTTAGCAGTTATTATATAACCCATAGTACCTTACGAAAGCTTTTGTTGCAAAATGGGACATAACAAAAGAATCTCCATATAAGGACCGTACGCGATGGCGTTAGCGGGGCTGTATAGAAGCTGCATAGTCCTGCTACTAAGAACCTCGCGTAGGGCTTATTACCTGAGTTACACAGGGTCTACCGAGAAGAATGTGGTTTCTTGATAATAACATATAGAGCCTTTTGCGCCCTGGTCCATACGTCATGACCTCGACTCAAATGTTTTCTCGCCCAGCCCTTCTGCTCAGTCGATAGTTTTTTATTATTTACTGAGGTGACTGTTGGAACGCCGGCAGTTCCATGCGATATGACCTCGAGCTAGATATTTTTCCGACCTGGCCTCCCACTCGGTCAAAAAGGACATTATTTACTAAATTGGAGGTGAAAAACAGCGACTTCCACACGTTATAACCTTGAGCTACTTGTTTGTCTGTCCCTCCCCCCCCCTCCCAGCCCACCTGCTAACTTTATATTTATTCATTCATTGTTGCAGGGGAAGGAAATTAAAATTAGTCTCCTTGTGAGACGAAGTTCTGAAGACAAAAAAAGAGAATCGATGCTGCAGCGGAGAAGACGGTCAATAATGGAGGAAAAAGAGCTAAGGGTATAATTTTTTTATCTATGTTAGTATCTCAGCATTCATGAACTAAGGCTGGTAGTTTCGAAAGAAACTGTTTGGGGCTGCGTCGGTGCGTCGCTCCTTCGGAGCGACGACGAAGGGCTAACGCTCGAAACGTCAGCTTTTGTAATCATTACGGTGGCCAATTTACCATTTCAACTTTGTTGATATATCCAAATTAATTCATGAACTAAGTCAGTAAGCGACATTTTGAAACCCAGAGCTAAACAGTCACAGTAGGAAATAGAAACAATTCAATGAATCAATGACAACAGAAAGATCAAGCGCGGGAAAAAGAACGCGGATGGTAAAGACACGCCGCGTTTGATTAACAAGTTGTCTCAGGGTTTCCATATTGAGTCAGTTTCAGGGCGTGGGTTTGAAAAATTGCAGGATTACGGGAAAAAATCTTGATACAGCTACGAGAGGAATTAAGTCTTGGGGTGGATAGAAGCTGGCGTGTACCATTCACAGAGCAAACTCCGATTTGTAATGTTCACTCTAACATGTGCGAACAGCGCAGCACGCTATCGCGCTAAGAACTACTTTATTTTGTTTCCTGTATAGACTCAGACAAAATCTCGTTTCAAACTTTCCGCTGGTTATTTTTCAGATAAAAGAGAACTGGAAGCGCCGTTGCTCTTTGTCGTTGGTTCGACAGGAAGAGAAACGCAAACAAGAAGAAGATGAAAGACTCGAGTTTGAGAGAAATGTAGCTAGGAGGACTTCGATTGCGGAAAAACGGCATCGTAAAAGCCAAGGTAAAACCAGTGCTTTACTTTTGAGATAGAGTACTTTTCGTGTCAGAAAAAAAAAACCAGAGTAATTACAACAGCCAATCAGAAGAAAGGAAAATACTTTAAGAGTTGGTGAGGACAAACTAGCTAAAGCGCGGGAAAGCGCGGGCGACCAAGTCGTGATTGGTATTAGTATTGCATCTGATTGGTTGAGACAGTAGCACCAGTTTTCTTGACCAATCACAGAGCAAACGAGGCCCACAAATATGTACACGCAGTGGTATGGAATTCTGTTATGTTATGTTTAATCCCTTTCAGTACAACATGAACTGTGTTTGCAAAAGAGGCGTAATACCCTTGTCCAGCAACATCATAACGCGGAGATGTTCCTTGATAAAATAAGAGAGAAGAAGTTGAGAGACTTGGATGAATGGAGGAAGAAGCATGCCCGAATGCTAGAGAGGCATCAAAAACAGGTCAGTAGTGACTATTGGTTCATTGGAAAGAAGAATGCATACAGCGATATCGAAAGTGCCCTGAGTATTTACGAATGTGAATGTTAAATTTACACACCAAACTCTGTAGGGAAAGATATCAGTAATGTAAAGCTTTTTGTGTCAATTAAGAGAAACGCTAGTTTCGTAGTACTGTGATCAAAGAAGAGATTTAACACCGTGTTTACGTGAAACGGCAAACGTCAGCTTGTCCCTCCACGTTTCACGTAAAATAACGTGAAGCTTGCTGCTTTAGCTTCGCGTGAGCTCACGTCAGGGTAGATTTGAAGGCGCTCCTGTATGACTTTCAAGGAATATTTTTGGTGCCCTTTTCCCGGCAATTAACTTCTAATCTGTGAGAGAAAAAGTGAGGAAAATCTTAAGTACGTGGAAAACGCGAAACAAGTTACTTCCACGCAGAAACCGCAAAGCGCAACCAGCAAACGTGAAAAAATGGCGGGAAAAACAAGGTCACGTGGTTACTTTGCCGTTCACGTTTTACGTAAACGCGGTGCTAAATCTCTCTAATAACTACTTATGATGCACGATCCTTCGCAGTAGATAGCGCTATTTATGCAATAGCGAAAATCAGACCTGAAAAAAATCAGGCCTATACGGGATTCGAACCACTGACCTCTGCGATACTGGTGCAGCGCTCTACCAATTGAGCAAACAAGCCAACTGGAAGCAGGCCGTTAAGTTGATTCGTAATAAACCCGTGATGATAAATCAGATACAATGAATATATGAAGTTCATATATTCGTACAGGCCTGATTTTTTTCAGGTCTGATTTTCGCTATTGCATTAATAGCGCTATCTACAGCGAAGGATCGTGCATCATATC